GGGCAGAGGCGGCTCTAAGCGGCCGGTGGCCGGGGCCACTTCGAACAGTCAGAGAGCAGGGCGTCATGCGGGGAACAAGAGGGACTTTGGCTCAGAGTGGGGTCCTGCGAGGGCCAGAGGGGCAGAGGACTAGAGGGAAGCCAGGAGGTGGCATCTCCTAGTCCCCTTACAACCTGGCCTTTGAAACAGAGTACCTCGTGAATGTTGAGGACAATTTTGGATAAAAACAAACCTTTTTATTATGGACAATTTCCCAAGTAGGCAGAACAACTTGTTGCCATCCAGTATCCACACCAGTTCCCCGTGGTTCCTATGAAGAAACAGGTTCTGATTCAGCAGGTCGAGTGTCTGATTCACCAGGTCCCATGCTCCGAGGGGCTCGGGCCACGCTGGGAGTATCTCATAAACCCACCCTGCCAATCTCTCAGCTGCAGGTACACACCCTGTTCCCAAACCTGTGATTTTTCAAACAAAGCCCAGACATCATATTTCATACACACATCTTGTTTTAATCCCTAAAAGATAAGGGTTCCTTTAAAAAAAACATAAGCACAATATCATTTTATATCTAAAATTATTATCCTATCATATCAATGATCCTGTCCAAGTCCCAGTTCGAGCAGTTGGGGCTGGCTTCTGCATGCCTCCAGAGGGCTTTCTGCCCGCTACATCGTGGTGGGAAGAAAATTCTGTGCTCAAATTAAATCACAGATGCCCCTGAGGAACAAAGGGGAGGACTCTGGATGCCTATGTTCAGGGACCCTCTCTCCCCTCCCCAACTTGTGAGGGAGGAGTGGGGACCTCTGGCTTCACTTTGTCCAAGAGACGGGAGAGGTCCAGGAAGTGGAAAGGAGGTTCTCACAGGCCTAGGACAGGCTGGAGATTCACACTGGGAGTCTGCAGGCCCCGAGCCCTGCACCCCAGCTGGTCCCAGAAGACCAGCTTGCTCGTCCTTGTCCAGATAGCTTTGGCAAGAGAGGGGTACAGGGATCCCACAGAAATGTCCAACAGGTACGGTGGGCAGAACATTAGTCTTGTTCATCTCTGGCACACATAGAAACAATAAACGTATAGAGAATGAAGTGGGAGAGGCAGCTCGTTAGACATGAAAAACAAATGAACATTTAATAAGCACTTATATTAGTCCTGCTGTGGGTTAGCCATTGGGCTGCTCTGACCGAAGGTCCGTGATTCGAACTGAGGAACCTCTTCAAGGGAGAGAGAGTTGGCGTCTCCCTGCATAAAGTTTTACAGCCTTGGGAATCCTATGGGATAGTTTTACTCTGTCCTACAGGTCACTCTTCGTTGTCATTCCTGTGGGTTTGGTTGTGTTTGTCATGTGCCAGTCATTATTCTAAGTGTTTCATAAATACTTAATCCTGGTAAGAGTCCCGTGAGTCAGTAATTATTTTCGTCCTTCAGAGATGAGCCAGCGGAGGTACAGAGAGGTTAAGTAACTTGCCTAAGGTCACACAGCTGGTAAGGAGCAGAGCCAGGGGAAGAAGTTAGAGCAGTTAGGTTCGAGAGTCCACACTCTTGTCTCCGAGGGTGTCAACGTCGGTTCTCCTGACAAAGGAAGGCGAGTCATTGTTCCTCTTATGGCCTGTGTTTCAAACAACCTGCCTCCCCACCATCATAAGGGCATACCTGTCTATCAAACCCTTGGCCCTCTCAGGCCCCCTGGGTTATCTAATACATGCCATGCCTTCTTCTTCCCAGCGCCCTTCTCCAGCCTGGGACCCTTTGGGAGGAGAAGGGATTAGGAGCCTCGAGCCTGGGGGACATTGTATGACTTCAGACCTCTGAGGGGGGTGCCCAGGGAAGGCACCTTGATTCTGAAGCTGGACAAACTCACCAAACCCACTCCCAGAGACCCCCGCCGCCGGGCAGAGTAGAACTGCCCCTGTGGGTTTCCCAGGCTGTAACTCTTTTTTTTTTTTTTTTTAATATGCAACATATTTAAAGGTTTTATTGGCACATAATTTACATATTATACAATTGAATAGTTCAATCATTCAATCATGTCAAGGGGAGTTGTGCCACACATCCATCTTAGAGTCTTCCC